TGTGTGTGTGTGTGTGTGTTCTCATCCTCGCATGTTACACTTGCCATTTCCTCAACTGGGATAGGGATTGTGAAGATGAGTGTGTTGGAATGCGAAAGACGGAAATAAAAAACCAATGCAAATGGTGGAGGGAATGTGACCTGACTTTTTTTTTCATGACAAATTGGAAATATACAGGAACACGGTTTAAGTGTCTCACACGTGAGAGGAGTGGCCGCCCTACACCTCATTTCCTGAGAATGTGAGGCAGGAGTTAGAGCCAGCTGCCCTTTTAACGGAGGAAGGGCCGCTGCAGGTGACCCAATTTTCTGCAAGTGGTCCCCAGCTCCCCGGACCTCCAGCTTGTGCCTTCCCTCCTGTTTGTCAGTTCGGTGTCTTTAGGGGGACACGGGTCCAGGTGTAGCAGGGTTGCGAGAAGCCTTCCGTGGGTCCCATTATCCGAACGTTCTTGCCGCTCTGCGCTAGCCTAGCGTCTAGTGTCTTCTCAGCTCCTCGCCTCCACTCACCCTTACGCTGACTGCCACATTGCCCGCTATGCACCACCCTCTGCCTTGCGTTGCCATGGTGCCGGCAATGTCCTTCTGTTCTGTTGTTAGCTTCTCATGCATATCTTATAACTCACCCAAATGTTACCGTACAGCGAAATAGAAAATCACCCTTCAGAATTCTTACCTAGCCAGAGTGAACGCACGCATTTCCTCTCCCGTGTCCCCACAATCCTCACATTAACTGCATTTGACCTCAGTTGTGCACCAGACTCCTCTGTTAGACTCTGGGGAGAGGCCCTACCTTATTCCTTTTGCCATTTCCAGAACCTATACCACAGAGGACAGAAGGGAAAGCGCTACCTAATCAAGGACCATCAAGGAAGCCTTCATCTAACTGTACCTCAAGCTGCAGTTCCACTGTCACATTCTCCGGAACCTGGACACTGCTCCAAAGGTGATGGACTTGTTCAAACTGGGGTAGTTTGATGGGCTCTCTGATCCAAGGCATTATTGCTGCTATCTCTATAATATTCCTATACCATGCTTCATTTAAATGTGATGGATTCGTGTTGAACTTGATCTCACTCTATGTGCAACGAGTATCCCCGTCCCCCACAGGTCTCAGCTGTCCGTTCCCCTTGATTTATATTCATTTCCCAGGTACACTAATTGTCAATGACGGCGCTAACCTCCACAGGGTGGCCTCCATTAACTCTGATGTTAATCTCTATGCAGCAAAGGTGTAACGTTTACAAGTCACTCACTTTTCTCACACAAACTCTTGTTTGCCTAGAAATATCTGGAAACTTTAGACGTCTTCAGGCCACACCTTGTAAGAAGCTGAGTGAGTATGAATTTTCCAGGTATGCCACATTCATCTATAGCTAGCCAGTCTTAGTTCGCCGAGCAGGGTTACTTGTCTCCTACTGGAGGAAGCCTCAGAGTGACTGCTCGCCTATAAATGTGAGATTTCCAGCGCCACCTAGTGGCTTGACCGTGCTTCCTCCAATGGTGCTGTTCCTAGGGAACTTGTGTCCATATACTTACTACACCTAATGTTCCCGGACGGCCTTTCTGACTTGTGGGGAAGCTTTGGGTTCTTTAATCTCTTAAAGTCATGCGTGCTGTAGGTACAATAGACAGATCCAAAAGGCTACTTAACCCAATTGGCTTCAACTCAAACAAGTCCTCTGAATTGATCATGTTCACCGGCAACACATCGTATTAGCTTTGTAATAAACTCTCAAGTCCAGTGAAACAAGACTCCCTTGTATGTTTGTGAACTCTCTGTCAATCATTAATGTTTTACACACGTTTGATAAAAATTGTTTCCAGTTAAAGATACGACTGCTAGAACATAAAATGTATGAATGTATAAATTACTTCGTGTAACTGTGTTAGTATGTCATCTTTCCTATGACACAACTAGAGTACACCTTCTTCTGCTTGTTCAGATCTTAATTTATGTCTTTAACATCTTACCATTTTCTCGGTGGAAGTTCCATAATCTGTATTAAATTTATTCTTAGGTGTTTGGAGCTGTTATCAAAAGGAAAACGCTCAAATTGGCTCAAATTTTGTGTGTTTGCGTCACATCTAAGTCAGCAACAAAGAACTCTGATGAATTCTAAGATCGGTTCTTTGTTCAGATCTCTTGACATTTTCTTGTTTTTCTTTCTATGTTTCAGACTCCAAGGCAATTGTACTGCTTTTAGTTAATTCCAAATTTTCTTCCAAAAGTAATGTGACTGCGGTTGCTCACAGCTACAATCCTTGTACTAGGAAAGTGAAAACAGAGGGATCGGGGAGTCAGGGAAGAAACAAAAATACAAGGGAATCCTAAGCACCATGGTGAGTTTGGGCTTAGCAGAGATCCTGTTTCCAAAATAACAAAAGCAGAGAAAGATAGGATGCCATTAAGAAATCAGAGAGGACATTACAAATTCCCAGAGACATTGAAAGTGAGAGCACAAGCTACCAGAACTTTTGGGAAATAGCCAAGGGCACATGCCTAGGTGGGAGAAAACACGATTAGAGTAGCCAGGAAACTAGAGCGCAGAGGCAGGAGACTTCAGCGGTGTGGCTACCTAAAGTTTCCTGGGGAACCCAGAGACAGCTTGCATGAGAGGTCACGCAGTTAGAGTGCAGTGACGCCCCAAGTCACTCGTGCTCTTGATGTATTCCCGTTTACATAAGTGGCCCCAAAACCACCTCATTGGCTCACCAACATAAATCTGGACAGAATTCGTCCTTCTGTTCCTGCCCTTTCTATTTGGAATAAATGGGCCTTTCTCTTTAGGAATAGCCACACAAGAATACTAAAAACTAACTCTTAATTCTCCTCTAAGAAGTTTTCTAATGCTTAACTTCTAGACCTGGAAGAGCAGAATCCAATAACTTCGAAGATTCTGTCTTAAAACCTGAATATAGGTTTTGAACACATTTTGAAGGTTAAGATAACAAGACCTTCTCAGAGTTTATGCATGAAGTGTGAGAAAATAAAATTCAAAGCTTAAAAAAATCTGGACGTTAAAAATGGCAGAATTCAGACATTGGTGGCGTATGCCTTTAATCCCAGCACTCGGGAGGGAGGCAGAGGCAGAGGCAGGAGGATCTGAGTTCAAGACCAGCCTGGTCTACAGAGCAAGTTCCAGGACAGGCTTCAATGCTACACAGAGAAACCCTGCCTCAAACAAACAAAGAAACAAACAAACGAACGAACACACAAACAAAAAAAGCTGGCAGAATGTAGTCTACACATACCATGACTGGAAAAATCCTGCAGATGGTAGGAAATGCAAGGGAGGTTGGTTTGAAAAACATTAAGTTTCAGCTATCTCTTGGGTGAAAACAGAGCTGTGGAATATGTTATCTGGCTTCCTGTCTAGAGTGTTTAAGGGAAATCTGTAGAGAAACTCTGTCTGGAAAAAAAAAAACAAAAAACAAACAAACAAAAAACATGTCTTTGTGGGACTTCAGTCAGATCCAGCCAACTTGCCCAGTTCACCTGAGAGGGAGAGTGTGGATTGAGATAAAGAAAAAGACAGAGACATAGGATAGAGTCAGGAGGGCAACCCGTGAATACTGGATGCCCCAGGTTTATTCTTCAATATTCTTAAATACCCCAACCAAAAAAGGGGAGCATGGCAAAAACTTCTTTATCGAGTACAAGGAACAAACAGACTTTGCTCCTTAATTCTCCAAACATTTGGTAACCACACCTTAGACTCAATTTCTCTCTATCTGGCTTTGGGGGTCAAGAATAATCACACCTTAGACCAAGTCTGTTGGTATTTAGATAAGACATCCACTGCTAATATCAAACATCTACAGTAGCCATTCCTTGGACTTTTAGGTCTTAATGACTTAACCTTGGAAGACTAAGGACAGTTTGAACTCTGAACTTAAGTCAAGATAAAGAGGAGCTATTTCTGTGAGCCCCAACACTCAACCTTCCTAAGCTGCAACCCTTTACTACAGTTCCTCATGTTGTGGTGATCCCAACCACAAAATTATTTTGTTGCTACCTCTTACCTGTAGTTTTGCTGCTGCTAAGAATCGTAATATAAATATTTGATATGCAGGATATCAGATATGCAACCTCCAAAGGGGTCAACACCTTTTAGGGTGTAGCAAAAGTAGTCACAAGAAGTTGGAAACTTTGTGTTAAAAGTACCCAAGTGTGGTAAGTAGTAAGATGTTTTTTTCTCTTTTTTGGGGGAGCCCACCATTCAGCTCCCAAATGAATCACACACAGAGGCTTATTCTTAGTTATGAGTGCTAAGCCTCAGCTTGGCTTGTTTCTATCCAGCTTTTCTTAAATTAATCTGACTACCTTTTGCCTCTGGACTTTCCCTGTTCTCTTACTTGTGTAAACCTCACTCTTACTCAGTAGATAGCTGTGTAGGTGGATGGCTGGGTGAATGGCCCCCCGATGTCCTCCTCTCCTGTTCTCTTACTCTCTCTTCTATTTATATTCTCTGTTTGCCAGCCCTGCCTATCCTTGCTCCTGCCTCGCTATTGGCCATTCAGCTCCTTATTAGACCATCAGATGTTTTAGACAGGCACAGAATAACAGCTTTACAGAGTTCAACAAATGCAGGATAGATAAAAGTCACACACCTTAAGATAATATTCTACCACACCCATGTATTCCGGGGCACTTTGGGGACAATGTGGAAACATAGTACAGTGGAAACTCCCTGGAGCAACAAGCATGACCCCAGCAAAGACCCCTAGTAATGGGGGATACAGAGTCTGAACTGGCCATCTTCTGTAACCAGGCAAGGCTTCTAGTGGTGGGACATCAACCAAGCCACAAAGCGTTCTACCTACTCTTTGTCCTGCCTGCAACATGTGCTGAGGTAACAATGGTGCAGAATTTGTGGGAGTGGCCAACCAATGACTTGTCTATCTTGAGGGAGCCCACTGCAGGAACCAAGAGTTGGATAGCCCAGAGACCTAGGATAAAACCAAACAGGACTGGAAAAGAAAGTTAATGAAACAATTCCTAATGATATTCTGCCAACCTCATAGATCAGTGATTGCCTAGTCCAATTGTCATCAGAGAGGCTTCATCCAGCAACTGATGGGAGCAGATCCAGAGACCCTCAGCCAAGCATTAGGCAGAGCTCAAGGAATTCAGCAGAAGACAGGAGGTAGGATTATAGGAGCCAGAGGGATCAAAGACATCACAAGAACATGTGCCACAGAATCAAATAAACTCACAGGGGCTCATAGAAACTGAAGTGACAGTTAGTAGAGATGATGTGTGCACATAGTTTACAGGAAAGCTGTGGAGGGGTTAAATTTCTATTTAGCTGAGGGCTTACATGGACATCCTCAGTCAACACACTCTGAAATTTCCCTCTCCCAAAGGAAAGCAGACCTTTGTAAAACTGCACTTTGTGCAAACAGTTCTAACAACATGGGCATTCTTCTCTAGTGTAAAACAATGAAAATTAAGGTTGCCAGCTGTCACCTAGGGTCTAGTTTGAAAACTGACACTGTAACACATAGCAGGATGCTATCGTGACTGTCATCCCCCAGCCATTCTATCTGCACGACTGAAGTAATTACTAGCAATAGAAATGTACACTGCCAGGATATAGATTTAATCATGAGAATTACCCATATCATATAAGGAAGTATTTATTTAACTGCCTTGGTGCTCAGGTGAGACTTTGAACTTGGGCATTTGTTGGGGCTGCTGAGATTTGAGAGTTTTCTTTAAAATGGACTAAACGAACTTGTATTGCTAGATCGATAGGAACCTTTGGGAGCCAGGCACAGAATGTTATAGTTTTAATCTTAACTGTCCTCCTCTAATGGATCAAGTGATTGAAACATGAGGGCTTTAACCTCCTTGTAGATCAGTCCACTAGTGAATTTATAATTTGATGATATCATTGGGAAATAGAAATGAGGAGGAAAAGCTCATTGTCACTATAAGGAAGAGGTTGGTTAACATTAGACGTATGGAGTTTGGTGGAGTGATATTTCAACCCATTCATATCAAGTTAGCATGATTTGCATTTTCTTCCCCTTCATATTTCATTTAGGATCTTTGAGCTACTCTTTTCCAGATATTAATAAAATAAAACTAGTCTGGTGGCACAGGGTGAGGCAGGAAATTCCTGAGCTCAAAAACTGACTGAGCAACATAGTAAGATCTTGTCTCAAAATGTAGGGCTGTTTTGTTAAGCCTGTGGGGTATGTAATAATCTTCCATGGTAGAATATTTTCCTAACATGTTCAAGGGCTTAGATCCAATCTATATATGTTGCTGTAAACTATAGTCATCATTCTATTGATATGCCAGAACTTACTTAATCCTTATCTGTGTATGGCTAAACAAACTTCTCTCTCTCTCTCTCTCTCTCTCTCTCTCTCTCTCTCTCTCTCTCTCTCTCTCTCCCTCTCCCTCTCCCTCTCCCTCTCCCTCTCCTCTCTCTCTCTCTCTCTCTCTCTCTCTCTCTCTCTCTCTCTCTCTCTCTCTCTCTCTCTCTCTCTCTCTCTCTCTGTGTGAGTGTGGTGATCAACATCTTATTCATTCATTGCCTGATGGACATCTAGGCTGAATTCATCATTGTTACTAACAGGGCTGCATGTATCAACCCAATGTACTGACTTTATTTCCTTTGTATAGATGAAAGAGGTTATGGGTAGATCATATAAAAATTCTATTTAATCCGGGTGGTGGTGGCACATGCCTTTAATGCCAGCACTTGGAAGGCAGAGGCAGGTGGATCTGTGAGTTTGAGACTAGCAGGTTCCAGGACAGCCAGGGCTGCACAGAGAAACCTGGTCTCAAGAACTGATTTATACTCTCATCAACAGTGTATGAGAGTTTTTTTTTCTGTGTCCCCATCAGTGTATGAGAGTTTTTGTTTGTTTGTTTGTTTTTTGCTTATTTTAGTTTCTTGTTATAACAGCCATTCTAGGGTGAAATGTTATCTGATTGTAGTTTTGAATTTCAAGACATGCTCGAAGCCATAGTAACTAAAGCAGCACTGTATTACCCTGAAAAAAATGACACCAAAGGAAAAAATTACAGAGCAAACCCTTCGAATCATTAGGAGAGGGACCATTTTTTAGACAAGTCCTCAAAGTGCAGAGCATAGAAACCAAAATACACAAATGGAATTAAGCATAATTAAGACTTTTTTTTATGAGGCAGTGGTGGTGCACACCTTTAATTCCAGAACTCGAGAGGCAGAGGCAGGTGGACCTTTGTGAGTTTGAGACCAGCCTGGTCTACAAGAGCTAGTTCCAGGACAACCCCCAAAGCCACAGAGAAACCCTGTCTGGAACAACCAAAAAAACCAACTTATTTTTACTATTTTGATAAGGTTAATATGTATGATTTTATTAATTATTAAAAATTTTGAAATTATAATATAGTTTCAACATTTCTTCCTCCTTTTCTCTCCCAAGCCCTCTCATATACCCCTCCTTGCTCTTTTTCAACTCCATCCTTCTTTTTTCGTTGTCATTACGTGAATATATTTATATGTATAATATATATATACATATACATAATGCATATGAATACATACATATTCATAAATGCAACCTGCTCAGTCTATATAATGTTAATCATAATATATTTTCAGGGCTGACCATTTGATATTGGATAACCAATCAGTAAGCTCTTCCCTGGAAAGACTATGTCTCCCACTCTCAGCAATCCTTACTTGCCTGTAGATATTTGTATAGGGTTTGTTTGCAGCAAAGGGAATGACAGGATTAAAAAAAAAACAGCCGACAGGTTAGGAGAAAATCATTGGCAATCACCTATTCATGCAGGTTCTCTTTGTCAACTTGATTTGAATTATTTATTTATTTACTTTATGTATGAGTGCTCTATCTGCATGTACAACTTTATGCCATATCCTGCTATAGATGGTTGTGAGCCACCATGTGGTTGTTGGGAATCAAACTCAGGACTTCTGGAAGAACAACCAGTGCTTTTAACCACTGAGCCATCTCTCCAGCCTGGATTTTTGTTTTAAAGGAACAAAACTCCAAGGGATTTCTGAAGCACACCTCGGCGTGTGTCACGTTGGAATTTATAGAGGTGGTTAGATCAAGAGAGCTCCTTTGATTATCCTTATATTAATCCTTTGATTTCATGTCATAGTTGGAGGGCAGAGGAAAGTAGGAGCGTGATCTGTTTGTAGGAGCTGAGAATGAGTCCTTGAACTGTATCTTGCCCTAGATCCTTCTGTTTGATCTCTAGCACAATATAATCAGGCATAGTAGCTCATACCTACAATCCCGGCACTCAGCAAACAGAAGTTCAAGATCATCATTGGCCACAGAACAAAGGCAAAAGACTCTGGGCTACATGAGACCCTACCTCAAAAATTTTTTTAAATAAAATAATAAAGGCAGAAATAGCCAAGTTTCTTGTGATGTCTCCCTTTCCTTTCTCCTTTAACACACAAAGTCTTTCCTTATTGCAACTCAGAGTACTCACAAAAGCCTTTGGTCTGAGCTCACCCTTTAATCTGGGTACATGGCTGGAAACAGTGTGGCATTTGAGGTGGTAGTGACTGATAGCCATAGTCATAACCAAACTTCTTAACAAAGTTTTCCAACTCAGGGTAAAGTACAGGGTGCACCCTGGCCAAATCCCAGACTTGCTTGAGGAGTCGTCAGATTGCCTATGGACAGGACGCCCCCTCCCATAATTCATGAATACTTATGTATACCAGCTCCAGCCTGCTCTTGAGACAAACACAGAAAAACAGCACACATTGGTCAATTGTTTTTGTTTTTTTTTTGGTTTTTTTTTTGTCCCTCAATTCTCCACATGAGTCCAGAAATCAGAGCCTTTTGTCCTCATAATGACCACACAAATTGCACTGATCTGGGCATGTTACGAGTTTGATTGGTTCTCTATGATGCATGCAGATATCAAAGTCTCACCGTGTAGTCTACAAATACATACAAATGCCCATCAACTGAAACAAATGTAAAAAGAAATAGGTGATTAACTGTCATAGCTGCATTTACTGTGGCTATTTCATTGCTTGATATTTAGGAAGTCGATTTTAAGGACTTAGACTATATCATGATTTGTTTACTCTTCAGTTCGGACATGTGTTTGTCATATGAATCAAAGCAGCCTTAAACTCACCCCCATTTACTGCTTAGCCTCCTGAGTGCTAAAATGCCCAACAGTCACTGTTCTCAAGACTATCTGTTTCTTTCATTTTAAGGAATTGAATAGCATCCTTCCACTCGAACTATCGATTCTCAGTATATGAGTTAGCTTATTGGGGCTAACCTTGCTGTATTTACATCTCTGACTTGACAACTGATACAAAGAAAGCCATAGGAAATACCACTATTTTCTCATGAACTATATATAGTCTATTTCTTGGGTTGTACTTATAACCCATTTTTCTCTTTCTCTTTAACAAGGTGGAAGTGAGAAATTTTATTACCTAATGGACTGCCAACTATTATTTCAAAGTCAATGTTTACATCCAGTTTCTATATCTTTTTTGGGGGGTGGTTCAAGACTGGGTTTCTCTGTGGCTTTGGAGGCTGTCCTGGAATTATCTCTTGTAGACCAGGCTGGTCTTGAACTCTCAGTTTCTATATTTTGATGGGCATTCTAATGTTCATAACACATTCATTTGATTTTCTAAGCAGAGGACCTCAAATGTAAACATTCTGAAGAAAACCTATCTTTTGAGGGGGTGACATCACCAAGACAGATGTCATGGGAGTTGAATAATCTAAGGGATGACCAAGAAGGAAAAGTCATCAAATGAAAATCAAGTAAGACTACACTTGGCACATGAGTAAGGCCAGCCTTGAAATATGATCTAGGAGAAGCTTGAACTTAATATCATCAAGTCAAAGCCCCTATCATTTAGACTATGGGGGACTTCCTGATCATCTCAGACTCGGTCACTCCATGAGGAATTCTGGAAAATCTCCAGACTGATATTGGAATTGACCTTGGAATCTGTTGTGGCTTATATGTAACTAATTCAGTTCAAGACTGTTAATTTGCCGACTATCAAAGAGACCTAAATATGAAATTTCAGGACATAAAATACAAGAAAAGAGTTATAGTAGGGTATGTATGTGTGTGGGGGAATCCATATTACTTTTCTTATAGTATGAGCAAGAATATGAA